CCCTTCCCATACCCGTTATTTACCTCCCAGCACCCCCAAACTGCCCCAGACCCCCATTATCTACCCCAGTCTCCATTATCTGCCCAACTCCCAATTCTGCAGCTAGCCATACCAAATTCTCTCAGACCCCCCTATCTGCCCTGCACTCCCATATCTGCCCCATCCTGTATTTGCCCCAGCTCCCCCGAAACTGCCCCGTTATCTGCCCCTCATTACCATATCTGAGCCCAGCCCCCAAACTGCCCCTAGACTCCCATTATCTCCCCATCCCATATCTGCCCCCAGCCCACCCCAAACTGACCCCAGCCCCCAATTATCTGCCCCATCACTCCCATATCTCACCCTAGCCCCCCCAAACTGCCCCCCGACTCCCATTTATCTTCTCCCCATCCCATACCTGCCCCCCTCTTGCCACAAACTGCCCCAGACCCCCATTATCTGCCCCCCAACTCCCATATCTGCCCCCCAGCCCCCGTATCTGCCCCAGGGGTACCTGCTCAGCCACCTCGCGCACAGACTGGACGCTGGTGCCATAGAGGTGGCTGTTGTACTGCCCAGCCTCGATGAAGCGGTGGCTCTGGATGTCCTTCTCCATCTTTTCCCGCGATGACACAAAGTGGTAGTCGCGCCCGTCCACTTCATACTCCCGCTTGGGCCGCGTCGTGTCTGCTGGCGCATGCGCACATGTGAATGCACCCCCGACATGCCACAACACGCCCCTGACACCCAACACCCCACAACATGCCCTGACACACCCCAGCATGCCCCAACACAGACCCTGACACCCCACAGCACGCCCCACAACACCCCCCGACACTCCATAACATGCTCCAACACACCCCAGCATGCCCCAATACACCACAGCACCTGACACCCAACACCCCACAACACGTCCCCAACACGACGCAACATGTGCAAACACACCCCAGCATGCCCCTGACACACCACCACGTGCTGCTGACATCTCAACGCATGCCCTGCCACACCACACCACACCACACCTCCAACACCACACAACATACCCCAACATGCCCCCGACACCCCACTGACACCACGCAACATGCCCCAACGCACCCCAGCATGCCCCCAACATGCTACAAAATACCCCTGGCACACCACAACATGATTCCATGTGCAATGATACCACCTGACACACTCTAACACCTCCTGATGGGTCACAGCAAGCCCTGACATTGCACCCCCCCCACAGTAACACACTCAGACACACCCTGAGGCATTGCAAGAGGCCCTGACATGGCCCTGAATGTCACAACGTGGGGCTGTGTGGGAACAGACTCCAGCACTGCACCGATGTGTCTTAACGCACCCCGACACAAATCACCACCAATGTGCCCCGACCCAGGACACCACAAACACACCCCAACACGCAGATAGATGCCCAGACAAGCAACATGTGACAACACACATTCCTGCATGCCCATGCAAGCCACAACAGGGCTACACAATGGGCTCCCCACCCTCTGGCCCCATTGCCTCCCCACCCCAGGGTCACTTACGGGGAACGCAGGAGCCGAACTTGTCGGGGAACTCAGAGAGGAGGTCGTCATTCACCCGGTCCTTGGTGGGGCCCAGGATGATGATGGGACGGGCGTAGTGCACTGGAGGGGTCATGGGGGTCAGACACCCCCCCCAGTGCCTCTCACTCTCAACTCACACCCCCCAGGCCCCCACAACCCTGCCAGTGCCCTCACTCTCAATCAGCAGCACTTTGCATGCCCCCCCCCCAGCTCAGCACCTACTCCAGAGCTCCCTCCCATCCTGGTGCACCCCCTGTCCCCCTCCCCCCCGCCTCACCTTCCATCTGCACCACAGTCTCGTAGCTCAACACTGAGTCTTCCCGACCTGGAAAAGGTGGGGAGGGGGAAACAGAGTGAATTTCTCCGCACCTCCGGGAAGCAGGGGGCTGCAGGTCAGGAGTGAGAGGCACCGGCAGCATTGAGGGGGGCAGGGGCTGTGGGTTGGGAGTAAGGAGCACCGGCAGGATTAAGGGGGACAGGGGCTGCAGATTGGGAGTGAGGGGCACCAGCAGACAAAGGGACGGATGCACCCACCTTGTGAGCCCGATCCTGGCACCCGATCCTGGCAGGGAGGAAGAAGAGGCCGGGAGTGAGACAGCCGGACACGGGGGCCAGGAAAGATGGGTTCTGGCCCCCGCCCCAAGTCATGTGCCCCCCCATGTGCAAAGGTGGCCCCATGCACTGGCCCATGCATGTGCACATATCTGTGCAAGGGAACAATTTTCACACCCCAGCCCTCATGCAAAGCAAAACTGCTGGCCTGGCCCCACTGTGAGCCCAGGGGGGAGTTGGGGAGACATCAAGAATTTAAAAAAAAAAAAAAGAAAAAAGAAAACAAGGTGATTTTTGAGCAAATAGAAACATTGTTTGCTGCCGTTTGCAAATGTCAATTCTTTCCCTCTTTTTTCCCCCTCTGTTTTAATCCAACTTCTCTGATTTTTTGGGGTCAAATTCGCATTGGAGTCTTTTGATTTCCTGCTGGACACAGGACGCATTTCTAACCTTGAAACCCGGGTGCTCCCAGTTTTAAAAAATTATATTCAATCCAGTTTTTCCGATTCCTTTAAAATCGACATCAGGTTAGATCCATCTATGTCTATGTAGCAATATCCATTGATCCCTATCTGATCCATCTATCTCTGTATCTATTCATCTCTCAATCTATCTCTATTTATCTATATCAGTCTATCTATAGCTATCTCTATTTATTGATCTTTGTATATCAACCTATATCTATTGATCCATGTATCAATCTATTTATATCTATCTGTATCTATGTCTATTGATCTATCTTGATTTAGCTATCTCTATCAATCCATCTCTATCTACCGATCTATCTATATCTATATCCCTTGATCTAGTCATATATTTATCTCTATCGATCGACTGATCTATATCAATCTATTTATCTATCTATATCTATTGATCTATCTCTATCGAGCTCTATCTATCCAACTCTATTTCTCCCCCCCACCCATCTATCTATCGCTATCAACCTCTCACTACAGAGCACAGGTGCTGCTACACCTCTGTCCCCGACGGTGCCGTCCAGCCTCCTCTGTAAGTCCCCCAGGCACAGGGAGTGCCCAACTCCCCTGGGTTCCCTCCGAGCCACCCACCACTGTGTCTGCTGGAGATGGGGCTGCAGGGTGCACGGACCACAGGCCGCAGCCCACCAGGCGTGCCAACGGACTTGTGTTGTTTGTTTATGTACACACACACACACATACACACATACATATGTACGTACATATACACACATGTAAACATGTATATAGATGCACGCACAAACACACGTGTGACCCCGCCCCTCCCCATGCAACGCCCGGCTCAGCGCTCACAGGGACCTTCGTGCAAGCCCCCCCATGCACTCACCTTGGCTTTGAGCCGTGTCCACTCCCGGCGCTCCACCCTGAAGCACACAGCACCGCAGTCAGGCCCCGCCCCTGCCGTGACACAATGCCCTACTCCCTGCGCCACCCACTCTCCCACAATGCCATTCCCCCAGTATCCACAATGCCCTGCTTCCCACCCCCTCATTTCATGATGCTCGTCCTTCCCGCATCCAACGATGCCCCCTCCCACCCCTCCAGCATCCCACAATGCCCCTCTCCACCCCTTCACTCCCCCATAATGCCCCCTCCTGCTTCTCCCCAGTGTCCCATGATGTCCTGCTCCCCCAATATCCTGCTCCCCACCCCTTCACTCCTCCAATGCTCCTCTCTCATCTCCCAGTGTCCCACAATGTCCTGCTCCCCCAAGATCCCACAATGCCCTGTTCTCCACCTCCCTCAGTCCTCCACAATGCTCCTATCCTGGCCCCCCAGTATCCCACAATGCCCTGCTCCCCCAACGTCCTGCTCCCCACCTACCTCACTCCTTTACAATGCCCCTCTCCCAATGCCCTGCTCCAATATCCCACAATGCCCTGCTTCCCACCTCCTTCACTCTTCCACAATGCCCCTCCCCTTTCCCACCCCAGTGTCCCATAATGCCTCTCTCCTGCCTCCCCAGTGTCCCACAGTGCCCCTCTCCCACACCCTCACTCCCCCATAACACCCTTCTCCCACTTCTCAGGGTCCCACAATGCCCTGCTCCCTCAATATCCCACAACGCCCCATTCTCCACCTGCTTCACTCCTCCACAATGCCCCTCTCCCATCCCATCACTCCCCCATAACACCCCTCTCCCACCCCCCCATGTCCCACAATGCCCTGCTCCCTGCCTGCCTCTCTCCCCCACGAAGCCCCTCTCCTGCCCCCCAGCCTCCAGCGCCCCCAAGCGGTACCGGCGCTTGCTGGGCACAAAGCCAAGGGCAGGCTCAGGGCCAGGGGGCAGCTCACGCCGTGCCTGCCACCACTCGTCGTCACCGGCATCCAGCACCTGCAGCACATCGCCGAACCGGAAGGACAGAGCCTGGCTCAGGAACCCACAGTCCTTGGCCTTGTCATAGTCGAACAGCGCCCTACAGACAGTGGGAGGGGTCAGTGGGAAAGGGACCCAGGTGTCTGGACAGTTCTCAGAATCCCTCCAATGTTGGGAAAGGGACCCAGGTGTCCAGGTAGCTCCCACAATCCCCCTGATAGTGGGAAAGGAACCCAAGTGCCTGGGCAGCTCCCAGCACCCCCCAACAGCAGGAAAGGGACCTAGGTGCCCAGGCAGTGGGAAAGGGACCCGGGTGTCTGGGAAGCCCCTGGCACCCACACACAGCAGAAAGGGAGGGGCCCCAGGGGGTAACGAGGGCATCCTGGAGTGGGGGTGACCAGGGAAGGGGTCCCTGGGTATGGATGGGAGGGGTCTGTGGGGGGACTGAAGGGGGTTGGGGGCCAGGAGGGGGATCAGGATTGTCCCATGGGGGTGGATGTTTCCTCAGTGGGTCTAGGGCTGGTCACAGGGGGGTGGGGGGGTCCCTGGAGGGGGCTGGGAGAGTTTCAGGGAGGTCCCAGAGGAGAGATTTGCAGGGGATCCTTGAGGGATTGAGGAAGGTTCCAAGGATTGTGGGGGGGCTGAGTCCCAGAGGGGTTTCGGGGTCTGGAGGGTCCCAGGGGAGTTTGAGGGGATCCTGGGAGGGGAGGGGTGTCCCTGGAGATGGAAGGGATCATGGGCATCCTGGAGTTCCTAGGAGGAAGGGGGGCCCCAGGGAGAATTGAGGAGGTACAGGGGGATAGGGAGGAATCCCAGGGGGGAAGGAGGGGTCAGGGAGGACTGAGGAGGTCCTGAGGGGATGGGGGGAGTCCCAGGGAGGACTGCAGTGCTCCTAGGGGGATGGGGGGTCCAGTGGGCATAGGAGGAAGGGGTCCCAAGGGGGATCAAGGCGATCTCTGGGGGATGGGAGGGTCTGGGGGGTGCCAGGGGGATGGAGGATCTGGGGTGGGAGGTGCGGATTATGAAGGTCCCAGGAGGGATGGGGGAGGCCAGGGAGGATGAGAGAGGTCTCAGGGGGATGGGAGGGTCCCGAACCGGACGTAGAAGCCACGCTTGGTGCTGCCACGCAGGGAGGCGCTGCCCGTGCCAGTGCCAGTGCCAGAGCCGAGGCTGCTGCTCATCAGCTGCTCCCGCAAGTCATGGATCTTGGCCTCGAACCGGCTGTACTCTGGGGAGGGGAGGGGACAGGGTCAGCTTGGCCCCGCCCCTGAGCCCCACCCTTGGATCCTCCTCCAGCTCCCCACACATCCCTCAAAGGCACTTGCCTACGTCCATTGGCCCAACCCCCAGGTGTTAGCCCCACCCTCCCAACTCACCCTCTGGCTTGTACTGGGCCACGATGGTGACGCTCTGCCCTGCATTCTTGAGGGCGACGGCTGCCTGCTCATGTGTTGCACTGCGCAAGTCCACACCGTTCACCTGCCAACACAAGTGCGCATGCCTGGCTCGCTCAAGGGGTGGGAGGGCTCACATGAGGGATGCCCCACCCAGTTCAGAAGGATGGGAATTGAACAAAGGGAGCACAAATACCCATGGCTTACACCACGGCAATGGCAGCCCACCCAGGGATGCCAACATCATCACCCTCATGGTTTCAGGGATCACACAAGCCTGGGGGTCAGCATGCCTGCCTTGCATGAGGAGAGCAGGGAGCTTGCTTGGGGGAACCCCATCCAGGCAGGTCCCGATCCTGATCCTAGGGCCCCTCCCCGAGGCATGAGGGGGACAGGGGGCCCGATCCTGGGTCCCCCACTCACCGAGAGGATCTGGTCACCCTTGCGCAGCTCCCCACTGAGATCAGCCGGGCCGCCGGCCAGGATGAAGGAGATGAATATGCCCTCGCCATCCTCCCCGCCCACGATGTTGAAGCCAAGGCCCGTGGAGCCGCGGTGGATCACGATGCGCCGGGGCTCCCTGTCAGCCACCAGTGTCACTCATGGTGATGGCTGCCTGGCAACCACCTCCCCACACCACCCACCACCATGCCCTGCAGCTGTAGCTCAGCCCACCCTGAGACCCAGGCATCTGGGTTGCCTCTCATCCCCAAAGATGTTATGTCACTGCCACCCTGTGGCTGTAGCTCAGTGTGGCTGACTTGTACCCCCCACCCTGGGACCCATATGTCCAGGTTGCCCCCCCCCAATCCCCAGAGGGTTGTCACCAGCACCCTGTGACTGTAGCTTATGGTGGCCGACTGTTGAACAACCCCTGCCCACTCCTGGACTCCTCTCCTCATACACATGCATACCCCTTAGAACCTGCCAACTGTTGGGTACAAGCGGCTGAGCCTGACATAGCCACAGGGGTGTATGTCAGCCTGTCCCCACCCCCCTGCTACCACCTCTGTGTCACAGCACATCTGTGTCCACCTGTATGGGACACGACCCTGGCCCCCTGTGTCTGCCTGCACCTGGCACCAAATACCTGGACACCATCATTGAACTGTAACTCACAGCACCTACTTGTATCTTGTTGCACACACCCGTATCTCCATGTCTGCTTGTACCTCATGTTGTAAGTCTGTCCCACCCTGTCTGCCTCTAGTTTACAGCATGTGCCTATACCCCACTATCTACCTGTACCCGTGTCCACTTGTACCTCATGTCATATACCTGTCCCCACACTTCTGCCTGCAGCTTACATCACTCACCTCTACCCATGTCCACCTGTAGCTCATGGCATTTGCCTGTACCCCTGTGTCCACCTGTGTGCCACCCCCCCCATGCCTGGATTCCCCCTCCCAGCCCCGTTGAGAGCAAAGCCCCGCCCTCACCTGGGGATGTCCTCCTCCCCCAGCATCTCCTTGGGGATGGGGGAGTAGCGGCGGGGGGAGGGGGGCGTCATGGCCTGGGGATACTCGCTGCCCAGGTAGCTCTGGGGCCCGATCTCGTTGTCCAGGTGCTGGGAGTAGGCTAGGGTTGGGAGGAGATGAGATGTGGCCACTTCTGGGGGGATAGTCGGGGGCCAATTGTATTGGCTCCTCCCCTCTCCCTGAGGTTGGGGGGAAGGGGAAGAGGGGAAAGGGGTGGCTTACAGGAAGTGAGGTTCGGGGCAATACCGGAGGCAGGACACTCACAGGAAGCGAGTTCAGAGGAAAATGGGAGGAGGATTACTCATCAAGTGATGCCACAAGGAGAAAAGGGGGGCGGAGCCCACAGGAAGTGGAAATGGGGGGGCAGTGCTCACAGGAAGTGAGATCAGGCAGGTTGGGAAGAGACAAGGCACTCACAGAAAGTGAGGTCAGATGGGGCAGGGCAATCCCAGGGAGTATTGCCAAAGGTGGGGTGCTCCCAGACACTTACAGGAAGTGATGTCATGAGGGGGGACCCAAGACACTTACAGGAAGTGGTGTTAGGCCGCAGGCCATGACAGAGCACTCACAAGAAGTGATATCAGGGGGCAGGGCACACAGGAAGTGCTGCCCAAAGGGTCAGGGCACACAGGAAGTAACCTCATTCAAGGTCAGGCACTCACAGGAAGTGCTGTTGGTGGGGGTCAGACACCATCTGGGAAAGGGGAAAGGGGAAAGGGGGGTGGGGAAGAGCCCTCACACAAGGTGCAGCTGGTAGGGGTGGGGCACTCACAGGAAGTGGCGTCAGACGCGGGGCACTCACAGGAAGTGATGTCGGGTGGGGCGTAGGCGTCATTGAGGTAGACACCTGTGGGCTTGGCCACCTTCAGGTAGACGACGTCATACGTGTTCTTGAGCGCAGCTACCGCGTCCTCATGCATCACATCCTCCAGGCTCACATTGTTCACCTGTCCACGAGGAGGTGGGGCTGTCACTAGCCCTGCCCCCAGGAAGCCCCACCCACCTCTTCCTCCCAGCCCCTGGCTTCCAACCCCACCCCTCCCAGTAGCTCTACCCTTTCCTCTATGTTCTGCGCATCCGCATCTTAGCCCATCCCCCTCTGTTGGACCCTTAGTCCTGCCCGCTTGGCCCATGGTCTCCTCCCTCTGACCTTTGGCCCCCGATCTCATGTAGGCCCTGCCCGCTTTGGTTCTAACCCTGCCCCCTCACCCCATAGCCACGCCCCTCACACTGTGGTTCTGCCCCTTCTCCCATAACTGCCCTCTCCATCCCAAAGTCCCAGCTTGTGGATCAATGGCCCTGCCCCATAGCTCCACTCCCAGGTCAGCAGTCACACTCCCTCCATCTTGTGGCTCCACCCACTTATCCTGTGGCCCTCCCCACTGTCTCCTAGCCCTGCCCCCACACCCCTTAGCCCCGCCCCTTGCCCCCTAACCCTGCCACTGGGCCAGTAGACCCACCCCATTCCCCTGATTCTACCCCCTAGCTCCATGACCTCACCTCTGTGGCCCTGCTCCCTAGCCACTGAGCCCTGCGCCTCCATCCTACGACTCTGCCCCCCCATCCCTTCCCCAAGCCTGTGTATTCATCCTTGGGGCTTCACCCCCTCGTTTTGTGGCCCCTCCCTCTGGTCCCCAGGCCCCACCCCCTGGCTCCACCCCCTCACCGCCAGGATCTTGTCCCCGATTTGCAGCCGCCCATCCTTGTGGGCAGCACCGCCCTCGATGATTTTGGTGACGTAGATGCTGTTGTCACCTGGGATGTGCTGGTTCCCGACCCCGCCTGCAATGCTGAACCCCAGGCCTGCAGGGTTAGGAGTCAGAGGTCACAAGGGGGCAGGGCCTACACAGGAGATAAGGGGGGGAACTGGGGCTGGAGCCTGGCCCTGCAGAGGACGGAGGCCATGAGAGGTGTGGGGGAGGGGATCAAGGGTCTAGGAGGGGGGGGTGAAAACTTAGCTCCGCAGAGGTCAGAGGTTACCAGGGCACAGGGGGGAAGAGCTATATAAAAGGCATATACAGGGGTCATAGAGTCAGGGGGTGGGGCTAATCCCCAGCCCTTTATGGGAGGATCACAGGGTCATGGGGGCGGGGCTAACTCCCTGTTGCAGGGGGTCAATGGGTCCCAGCCAATCCCCCAGCCCAGCAGGTGGTCAGAGGTCACGGGGCAAGGTCTGGGGGACAGAGGTTTGCAGGTTCACAGGGGCAGAGCCAACCCATGGCCTAGCAGCGGCAGCAGAGGGGCAGGCAGGGCATAGCCCTGTGGGGAGCAGGTCGGGGGCTGGGGGTCAGGCGTACCCTTGGGGCCCTTGACTAGCTTGACCTCGACTGCCTTCTCAGCCAGCGCCTTGCGCCGCATGACATAGAGACGCACGATGGCGCCAGCCTCCTTGAGCGCGTCCACAGCTGCCGAGTGCGTCACCTCCCGCACGTCCACGTCATTCACAAACAGGATGCTGTCGTTTACCCTGCGCATGAGGAGGGGGCAGGGCTCACACAAGGACCTCACTTGGGGACCCGCTGCCTGGCACGGGGACCTCACACAGGGACCTGCTCTCTCACATGGAGTCCCACTGCCTCACACAGGGACCTGGCATGGGGATCCACTGCCTCGCACAGGGATCCACTGCCTGGCATGGGGAAATTGCATGGGGACCCGGCACGGGGTACCACAGCCTCGCACAGGAACCTGCAACAGCGACCCGCTGCCTCACATGGGGACCTCACAAGGGAGTCTCACTGCCTTGCACGTGGAGCTCAGCACCTTGCACAGGGGCATGGAACAATCCGGCACTAGGCCCTGCTCCCTGCTCCACCCACCCGGACAGGCCCCGCGCCACCCCCCATTGGTACCTGAGCCTCCCGTCCTGTGCAGCAGCTCCGCCGGGGATGATCTTGGTAATGAAGATGCTGGGGTCGTCCCCAACGTGTGGGTTGTCCGTGCCACCTGCGATGCTGAAGCCCAGGCCCGAGTTGCCCTGGTGTGGGGGGGATGGGTCGGGAGTGAGGGGCACCAGCAGGGCTGGGGGGCCAGGGGGCTGCAAATTGGGAGTGAGGAGTACAGCAGGCAGGGGGAATGGGGGCTGTGGGTTGAGAGTGACAGGCACCGGCAGGACTGGGGGGGCACTGAGCTGCAGTTCAGGAGTGAGAGGCACCACAGGCAGGAGGGTGGGGGTGGGGGCTGTGGGTTGGCAGTGAGGGACACTAGCAGAGCTGGGGGGCAGGGGGGCTACAGGTCAGGAGTGAGGGGCACCGCGAGCAGAGGGGCAAGGAGCTGCAGGTAGGGAGTGAGGCACACAGCAGGGCGGGAAGCAGGGGCGTTGGGAGTGAGGGGTGCCGCGGGGGGAGTGGGGGGGCGTCTCACCCGCTCCAGCGTGATCTCCTCATACTCCATCTCGCCCTCGGTCCCATTCACCTGTGGGGGGGAGGAGACTTAGAGGCATGGCCAGGACCTGGGGGGGTGGAGCCTTGTCCTGGAGGCAGGGCTTGGACCCCAGGAGGTGGGGCTATGGCCCTGCAGGAGGCAAGAGGGCCAGATCCAGGACCCCAAGGGGGGTGGGTCTAAGACCCTAGGAGGCAGGGCTATAGGCCAGGGGGTGGGGCCAAGACCCAGGGGCAGAGCCAGAAAGCTAGGTGGGGCCAAGACCTGGGGGCAGGGCCAAGGGCCTTGGGGGTGGGTCTCCAGGGGGCAGAGAAATCACTAAGGTTGGGGGGCAGGATGGTTGGGGTGGAGCTCCAGCCCTGGAGGGTGGGGCCTGGGGGCCATGACCCTGCAGGGGATGGGGCCTATGCCACCCACTCCCTCCTACCCCACACTCACATAGGCCGGAGCCTCCAGCGTGTCCGTGTTCACGATCACAGGTGGCGAATTGGCCTGAGGGCGACACACGTCGGGGGGTCAACACAGCTGGGGGCTCCTGGCCTCCCCCTTGCTCTCACCCCACCCAAGGAACCCAGGCATCCAGGCTCACAAACCACAACCCAGGGGGCTGCAGGTCGGGAGTGAGGGGCACCAGTGTGCAAGGGGGGGGCAGGGGGCTACAAGTTGGGAGTGAGGGGCACCGGGGTCACCCCCCTGGCAGCCCTTTGTTCCTACCATGCCCCCCATCCTTGGCAATGGTAACCATGGCAACGCCATGGAAATGGGAGCTGGGGGAGACAGTTGTCACAGCAACAGCGATGTTCCCTACAGGGACCGAATCCTGTTAACCACCCCCCCCCTCTGGTGCCCCTCA